GTAGAAGAGGAGTTTGGACGAACAATTTCCCGGAGGAATTGGCTGCATTTGCTTACCTTAACTGGCTAATCAATTGTTTAGAAATGAAGCCAGTGAGTATTTTGAGTTTTTATTTGCACTTCAAAATCAAACTTTTCTCAATTTTTTTTGGTTGCTGTATGGGGCAGCTTTGCCTGTTAACCAGGTAAACTAATTTAACTTTCATCGAACGAATGCGTTGGGATAATGAAAATGCCGTTGGCTTCTCACTGCGCTTTATGAGTTCGCTCTCTGAATAGCTCGTTTCTCCATTGAAGTTTCCATCATTTAAGTTCTAGTTAGTTTGCAGGAAAAATGCAGTTGACACTTAGAGTCATTGCTCTGCTTACAGTCAATTTATACCAAGTTTATCGTCGTTTTCCGCGTTCGCTCTTCGATCTAATTGGTGTTTTGTGCCACCTGAACTTCTCAGCTTGTGTAAATGGTAATGAGATTGTCCTCGAAACGGGGCCGAAAATGTGCTCAATAACTGTTTTATTGGGCCATGCTCGCAAATCGAGTTCTTTATTAGTCTAAGTAAGATTTCTGTGTTTGGGATTTTTACAGTCATCAAAGTGAAACTTGCTTATTGAGACACATGAGGACCAAATATATTTTTATTACACAATCGCGCTCATCAAAAAGCAATCGATTTTGAAAAATTCCTTGAGAAAGTCGCAAATACCTAACTTCCTTGGCTTTGGTACAAGTAAAGTTTCTGTAAAAGGTGGTGAAACGCGCACATTTGTAGGACTGTTTGTTGAAAAGTAGTGAAATTCGGAAACCAAACTTGTCCAAAACCACTGTTGTAAAATCAGCAAACTTTGAAAAAGTTTCAAAATTTTTTCGATTATGGCACAAATTCCTAATTTTCGCCGTTGATAGCAAAAACGTAGCTCTACACAAAGCTGCAAAGCACAAGTTTTTACCTCTATAAGTTTAAAAGTTATCAACTTTGGAAGAGGCACTTGTTCAATCTCGCTCTACACAAATCAATCGAAGTTAAAACAGTTCTGCCTTGATCAGATACAAAGTTATTAAGTGCCGAAAGCCGACTTGTACTCTTGCGCTCTGAAAAAATCAATCGATTTTCAAAAATTTTCAAAAATTCCTGATGATGGCGCAAATACCAAAATTCCCGCCTTCGTCCAAGGATCGTTTCCTAAAAACGTTGAGAAACGCGCACGTTTGTAGGTTTGTTTAGTCAAAAGTAATGAAATTCGGAAAACTGCTGTTGAAAAATCAATAAACTTTGAAAAATTTTCAAAAATTCTTCGATTATGGCACAAATTCGACATTTCCGTGGTTGATAACAGAGACTTTCCTCTACACAGTGGTGCAAAGCACAAGTTTCTGTCTTCATCAGATCAAAAGTTATTAAGTGCCGAAAGCAGACTCGTACAATCGCGCTCTAAAACATCAATCAATTTTGAAAAATTTTCGAAAATTCCTGATGATGGCGCAAATGCCAAAATTCCCGCCTTCGTACAAGGACCGTTTCGCAAAAACGTTCATAAACGCGCACGTTTGTAGGTTTGTTTATTCAAAAGTAATGAAATTCGGAAACCAAACTTCTCCAAAACTACGGTTCAGTGGTCAACAAACTTTGAAAATTTTTCAAAAATTCTTCGATTATGGCACAAATTCGAAATTTCCCGCGTTGATAACAGAAACCTTCCTCTACACAATGCTGCAAAGTACAAGCTTCTGCCTTGATCAGATACAAAGTTATTAAGTGCCGAAAGCCCACTTGTACTCTTGCGCTCTGAAAAAATCAATCGATTTTGAAAAATTTTCAAAAATTCCTAATGATGGCGCAAATGCCCAACTTCCCGCCTTCGTACAAGAACTGTTTCTCAAAAACGTTAAGAAACGCGCGCGTTTGTAGGTTCGTTTACTCAAAAGTCATGAAATTCGGAAACCAAACTTGTCCAAAACTACTGTTGAAAAATCAATAACCTTTGAAAAATTTTCAAAAATTCTTTGATTATGGCGCAAATTCGAAATTTTTGTCGTTGATGACACAAAGGTTCCTCTATAAAGTCGTGTAAAGCACAAGTTTCTGCCTCCACCAGATAAAAAGTTAAGTGCCGAAAGCCGACTTGTACTCTTGCGCTCTGAAAAAATCAACCGATTTTGAAAAGTTTTCCAAAATTCCTTGATAAATGGTGAAACTTCCGGCTTTGGGCAAGTGACTTTGCAGATAACGTTGAAAAACGCTTACCTCCAACCTAAGCAAATAATCGATTCAATTAATCTAAATATCGCCCCCAAAGGTCGCAGTTGACTATTATCTGCTTGTAACAATGGAGCGCTTTCTTGCCATTGCGGGTGCTTCCATTGTAGCACCGTCGAACCCAACTGGCATTTAGGCTTCAGCAGCATTCGATTATGTCATTTTTTTGTGAAAAATAAACCCCTGGAAATTATGCCGTGCAAATCCAAGTTGAAAGCGTTTGCCATTCATCCATTTGGATTGGTGCTGATATGCGTCGGATGTGCCATTGTTGCCTTGGTCCAGAACAAAGCCTTGGCTGAGGGGGCAGAAAAGCAGAAAAACGAGGAAGGAAATAAGGAGGATAAGGCCCAGGGCCCAGGAAAAGGTGAGTGATTGGGCAACTATGCTTGAACATTGTCTCAGTTTGCGCGTTTTTCGACTAGTCCAAAACGATGGAAATTCTGTTCAATGTTTACTAACTAGCAAACATCATCCAGCTGTAAATTCCACTTAGGAGTTGTTGGGAATTTGCCCGATTTGGAGCTTAGCAAACACACAAAGCCCGAAACTGGGCTAGATCGGACACAATAATCTTAAGCAAAAGATTTATGAGGCTTTATTTCGGTTTCAGTTAAGGCACAAGATGCAGAACCAGAAGCAGGCGAAGAAGAGGCACCGGCAGAGGAAGACGCCTAGAGTTGTATAAACCGATAAACAGTTCAACTGTATTTTTGTGCTTTTTTCAATAAACAAACAAACGCCCAGAAAAGTCCCTCAAACACCTCAATTTGGCTGTAAATTCCCAATAACAACCGCATGGAAAATATGGGATTATATTTGATATTTCAAGCATGTTTGTTGGAAAGCGATTGGTTCCTTATCGATGTTTGGGAAGATTTTTGCTCTTCACATTTTTGGAATACCACTGGCCAAGATTAACAAAAGTTGCTCGTAAAATTGCCGAAACATTTTACACACATTGAAAAAATCCAGAAACAGTTAAACAGATGCGCTTTTGGACTGAAATATTTCCTTGCTGTGAATATCACAAAAAATGTAAACAATCAAGAGTAATAAAACTGGAAAAAGATGCGAAAAACTCAAGGTTTCTCTTCTTTAGCCCATTCCATGCAAGAAAATTGTCACTAACCGCAACTGTTTGACCCACTTAAGAGAAGCTTTAATGTCACTGTGAAAAATAAATCAATTAATTCCCAATGTAGGAAGAAAGTGCAAATGGATTTTCCTGACCCTCGTCAGCAAAATAACAACTGAAGCAGCTGAAGCTCATAAATCCACTGGTAAACCCAAAAAATCTTTTCGTCTTAACACCGGACATGTTTTCTCTCCATCAATATTTTGTCGGTGTTATTTAAGTCCTTTAAGAGTTGAATCTTCTTCAAGATATGAGCTTCTTTAACTGCTCTTAATAAGACAGAGTCTAGCAGGCATAAAGGGAATGAACAGAGTGCAAAAAATAGAAAAAAGACTTTCACAAGAAAATGGATCATAAGGCTGTAAAACTACTGCTCGATGGTAAAATTAACTTAAAAAAACAATTAACTGGCAACTTTACTCTGTAAACTGCAGGAACGCGCCTCGTTTGGTATAAAAGTTTTCTAATCGCATGATAAACCTGTACACAAAATATTGAATGATAAGAAGCTAAAATTAGGCTGATAAAAATTACAGAAACGCATTAACTGACGTTCAAGCTTATTAGTATCAGTCTCAACATATCATTATGGATGGAAAACACATACGTACATAAAAAGCTGTCGTTCTGTGCCTTTGCAAAAATTCTCTAACCGAAGGTTTTTCACCAGCAATCTCCATCAGTTTCAAAAATATTGGCGATTTACCGTATCGACTATACCGTCCAAATGGGGCTAAATTGAGCTCAAAGTCTTGGTAAATTGAGGGTTTTACCCCTAATTATCCTTCCACCTCGCTTCGCCTTTAAAAACATACATTTACTAACGAGCCTGACAACATCATTACAATGCTCTACTTTCGGTTGATTTTCCGAAATTGGATTAATTCCTTTAAATTTAAAATTTAATCATTGAATATTTCACACCCCCAAACTGGCTTTTCTGTTGCGGTTGAGTTCAGGTCATGAAGGATTCTTATTGCAGAAAACAAAGTCATCAACTGCTGAATATTTTGAAAAGCAAAAGAGATTTGCTTCGGTTCGCCCTTCTTGGGCATCCCTGGGGCCTCAAGGCTAATTGAAGACGCAATTCACGAACAAGTGAAACGTTTAAGGCAGTAATGAGGAAAGGAACGTTTCCCTTTCAACTAATTCGTACATAATGAGGCCCTCCAAAAGGTAAACTCCGCTCATTGTGCGATTTAGGATCATCAGCTAAAAGGCCTCAAAAATAATTATAACTGTGACGCCTTTTCCCCGAATTTTGGTCCTTTGGAGGCTTAAACTCATTAAGTTTCAACCCCGCGCAGTTTGTCAAACTTCATTGCTCAGTTTTAAAGCTACCATCTTTTCACGGCTCTAACTGGTCCGCCAGCAGTAAAGAATATGTGCTTAAAAATACAAACTGAATATGGGGAGTTTTTGTGGACAACCTTGATTGCTCTGTTGGTTTTTTTGCTTTTTTTGTAACAAATCGTTTCGTTTTTCAGCAGTTTTTAGGTATAAAACGGCCTCCAGAACATCCTGCTAATGTGATCCTGCAATTTTGCTTTACGGTCCACTGCGAGAGCGTAAAAAGCGTGTAAAGCTCACAAGATTCTAAGAAGGTGAATTTATGCCACATTGCGTTAGGAAAAGTATGTAAATATATTCAGTTCTCCTCATTGATCAATCGCAATTTGCGCAATATTCGTGCAAAATGAATAATGTGCGGCAAAAATCCTCCAAACTATTCCGAATGGGATAACTTCGTTTGGGCTTAAAGCCTCGAATTTGCAACAGTATGTTTTACATTAGCAGTTGGTAATATGCGCCGGAAATTCAGAATATTTTAATATTTTACGTTCATATTAGTTTAGATTGTTAGTTAATTAGTGCCCGTTTTTTCGGACGTTTTTTCAACACCTTTAATCCCTAAACTAATAAATTCTATGCCTGACCAGGTTCTATCAGCTTTAGAAAATTACGCTCTAATCAAATGAGCTAAAAAGCGACAAAAAATTGCCAGGATTTGTTAGACGCATTTGAAAGATTACTGATGAAAAAGTGTACTGAAAATAAACTTCTCGCATTGAGAAAAACGCAATTGAAAATCAACAGCTACTGTTTTTCAACAAAGTGCCAAAGCACGTATTTTACTAGGCAGATTCTGTGCAGGAAACACGTTTTCTTATTATATTAGAGGGTTTCTGGTCTACATAACTTTCGCTTTACTTTTATTACTACCTCAGATCCCAAACAGCATCTGCGTCTTCCGAGCCCTTCAAACATTTTTCTCTATTTCCTTTAAAAAACGCCACGCCGCTTCGCAGCTTTTCAATAAAAATTGCGAAAGTATTTGCTTGTCAACGTATGAATTGTGTTGTTTTAGTTTCCCTTTCATACCTTGAGTGCTTAAAGTTACGGATGAGCCGGCAAAATCTATTTGCATTAAAAAACTGTTAAAACATAAATACAAATTGCACCATTTGACAAAATTGAAATCCATATATTCCAGAACAAAAACCGAACATGTGCATTTGAATATCCAGTTTCAATTTACTTTCAATCGCATTCGATTTGATCTGGCATTTGCTTTGTACGTTCAGGACTTGATTTATGGGCTTAAGTGAATGGGAAACTTAAATTCCTACCTTGCCAATCCCCATTATGGATAACTGTTTGAAAGGCAACCGGTTAATGGGTGCGAAGTGTGAAAGCCAAAATTGCAGACCAAAAAGTTCTTGATATAGTGTGGAGAGAAAACTTATCAGTGGCGACATTTAAAGGGTTTCTTTTAGCAAAAAACGCATGTTTTCACACCGCCAAACTCGTGGAAAAATTCCATAAGAGCAAACAACCGATACTGCGCTGCTACTCAATGCATGCGCCGGACCCTGCAGGAAAAGGGGGAGCGGGGAGTTGCGCGGGTGTTTGAAAGAGCGCGCAGAGCACCAGACTGAACAATCACTCAACTAAAGCGTGAAATTGTAGGCAATTCGACTTGGTTGAGCGTTCAGAGCCCAGAAAGTACTTAATTTAACTTAAATAACTGACCTAATAGTTTTCTTTAATTAACTTCAACATCTGCATTTCCAGTTTTTCCAATACTTTTCGCGCCTAAATATTTTGAGAATATTCGAATACTAAACATGCATTTCATTTATCAAAAGAGATAGACTTTCGAGGCCATTCTTTGAAACTAATGGGCTTTTCGGGTTTTTTAGCTCATCCTTCGGTAGAATTTCTTCTTGACGTTTCGCAAGCAGGAGTGGCTAGCATCTTCAGAAGTGGTTTGCTTGAACGCTTACACTGTTCTCATCAGAACCCGTTCGGTTCTTCCGCAGAACTGGAGAGGAGGAGGATTTACAGGACTCAATCAGATGGGTAAACGAGGATTTTTGAGCAAAACCTTCAAAATTTCAGTTCA